GGACATATGTTCATGAAGAAGTCGCTCATGTTTATGTCTAAGAGATTTTTGCCTGTGTTTTTTTCTAAGAATTTTATGGTTTCATGACTTACATTCAGGTCTTTGATCCATTTTGAATTTACTTTTGTGTATGGGGTTAGACAGTGATCCAGTTTCATTCTCTTACATGTAGCTGTCCAGTTTTGCCAACACCAGTTGTTGAAGAGGCTGTCATTTCCCCATTGTATGTCCATGGCTCCTTTATCATATATTAATTGGGTTACTGTCTGGACTCTATTCTCTTCGACTGGTCTGTGGGTCTGTTCTTATGCCAGTACTAAATTGTCTTTATTACTGTGGCTTTGTAGTGGAGCTTGAAGTTGGGAAGCGAGATGCTCCCTGCTTTATTCTTCTTTCTCAGGATTGCTTTGGCTATTCAGGGTCTTTTGTGGTTCCATATGAATTTTAAAACTATTTGTTTCAGTTTGTTCAAGAATGTTGTTGGTATTTTGATAGGGATTGCTTTGAATCTGTAGATTGCTTTAGGCAAGATGGCCATTTTGACAATATTAATTCTTCCTAGCCAAGAGCATGGGTGAGTTTCCATGTCCTCTTTAATTTCTCTTAAGAGTATCTTGTTCTCTGATTCTTTTTTGTATTTTCTATTTCTGCTGAAGTCCTCCCTGGGTTCATCCATTCTTATCGCAAGTTTTGAGCATCTTTAAAACCATTACTTTCAACTCTTATTGGTTAGATTGCTTAACTCCATTTCATTTTCTAAAGTTATGTCTTGTTTTTTCACTTGGAGCGTAGTCTTCTGTTTTCTCATTTTGCTTGACTTTCTGTGTCTGCTTATATGAAATAGATGAAAAGGCAGTCTCTCCCAGTCTTGAAGAAATGTCCTTGTATCTGAACTACCTCTTGGTAGGTAGACTGTGTGTACCTGTCAGTTTTGGTTGGCTGGCTGGTGTCTGGTGAGTGTGGGCCTGAGGTACCCGTGTGGGGCTCCCAGGTGCAATCAGTGGGCTCCTAGGTAAGTGCCAGGCTGGGGCAGGGACTGGGTGGTATGGTTTAGGGGTTTCCTGGGTGGGTGTCAGGGCAGAGCCCTGCAGGTGGTATGGCCAGGGGGTCAGGGTAGTTTGGGTAAAGGTGCTGATTTGCTGCTGCCTGGGTGGAACTGCTGGACCTCCTTTTTGGCAGGTTTGGTCATGGGTGGGGGCTGGGAGACTGCCTTGGTTAGGTCTGGAGTTGTGCTTGCCCTGACCCTGTGCTGCCCGTACTATCGGTGGTAGTCCAGGGAGGTGGGCCATAAACGATGGAGCTCTCCAGGCTCTCTGATTTCAGAGAGTTCTAGCATTTCTACTACCATTTGGCAGCTACTGTAGTTCTGAAATTGTCATCCTTCACTTATAGTCTAGTTGCGCCTTTCAACTTTTTTTCTGTGCCCAAGGACAGGCGAATCTGCACTTGGCTCTCTCAGTGATATCCCTCCTTACTGAAGGTTGCTGCTCTGGAGGTGGATTTTCTGCTGTTACCGTATCTCTGTCTCGCCTGCCATTTTTTATGTTGTCTTTCTACACTTTGTGCAGAAGTGTTCATTCAGGTCTGTTTGTCCTTAGGAAGAATTACTCTGTATATAGGTGCAGATTTGATACGTACTTGGAAGGAGGTGGGTTCAGGCTCTTTATATACTGAAATCTTGGACCTCCCTAGAAATCAACATTTTTAGTTCATAGCCAAGGAGAATGTTGTTGGAGTATCAGCCAGTATATGACTGTCCCTTTAGAAATCTTATCTTTATGTGATACTGTTAGCAATAAAGTAACTAATGAAAATCAGGATCCCTAACCTTCACTTGTAAGATTAAATGGCATGGCTCACCTTTTGGGGCATAGTACTGATAAGTTACCTGAGAATAGTGAGAATAAGCCCTAGTTAGAAAAAGCAGTAGCACTGACTTTGCATAAAAAAGAATGCCTCATATATTCCACCATTCATGTCATCACAGTGCAGAACTATAATTCAAGGAACGTTTTATTTCAGCTAGGGCTAATCTTCATTCTGAAAGAAATGACAAGCTAATATGAAGGACTTTTATCTTGAAGTTTGTTAGATTTATGTTTTTCTACATTGCAAACGTATATATATAGTTTGGATGAAGCAGTTCCTTTATGAAATGTCTTAGCTTTGTTATTTCTTTGCAGCATTTTAAATCAGTTCTTTGTGTGTAGGGGACGATGGCAGTGCATTGAACTGTTGTCTGAGGTTGCTAGTTTAAAGAGCTGTCTAGAGACTGGCACAGTGTTACTAATTTTAAATGACTAAAGCATGGTTTTTTTCCCCCTCCTACCTCAGCAAGCTATGCTACTTGGATATAAAGAATTTTACTTCTAATAATTCTTTCAAACTTCTGCAACTTGTGGCCATTTATATAAAATTATTTTTTGTAGCTGTTACTTTGTCTTGCAAAATGATTGAATTAGAAAGAAACATGGTAAGAGAAGTAGTAAATATTTGTCAGATTGAAAGAAGAATTCTGTCTTGTTTGGGTTTACTACATTTATAGTCATTCTTTTAAAAATACATATAATTTATATTTACTGTAGAAAAAGCACGTAGTGCAGTTACATAATTCTGCCATCCAGATATTACTGCTGTTAATCATTTGTTGCCAGTCTTTTGGTTGTCATTCTTAAAGAGGCAAAATACCACGTACTAGGTAGAAGAGCCTTATATCTTTTAATTTTGTAGCTGAATAAAATGGTAGTCTTTTGTCTTTAACAGAATGTCCTACAATATGCTATTTTCAATTAAATTATACTGAAGAGCCTCTTTTTAAAAATGGTGAGTTGGTGGGTGGATAAGGAGAAAAATAGCAAGTAAAATAGAAAAACAAGGAAATAATTGTATTTGTTGTTTTTGTGTAGTTAGCAGAATAGACTGGGCCTTTATCAGCAATTTCCACATTGATGAATTAGTCTTAGCTTCCTGAATATCCTGCTTAACACTTTTTTCTCCAGAAAGTAAAGGTGATGGATTCTCATTATGGGCCTAATAATGGGAGGCTTCTTGTATAATTTTATTTGTTTTGAGTTTCCATGGAATGTTTATCATGGGAATCACTTTTGGAGAGGTTGATCTAATCACAGTAGGAAATCTGAAATACTGTTTTCCAGTTTCTGTGGAGAAGTAAGTGTGTAACTCAACTGATTGGTTGACAAAGCTTGGGTTATCAACAGAATTTTGTGGTGGTAATCTTTTCTTACTGCTAAAGCAATCCATTTTTTAGTTCTCTTATCCTTAACTCGATCTTCTAGAATTCCTAGAGGACCAGTGCAGCAGCCTCTCGAGGATCGAATCTTCACTCCTACGGTCTCAGTGTACAGCGCGGTGAGTATCTCAAAGTTGTTTGTCATATTGTGTGTTTGTTTTTGCATATGAACATTTGATGTTAAAGAAAATGCTTGTTTGATGGGTGTATGATAGGTTTTTGGCAAAAGGTTCAATAATATCAACAGAATTAGATGTATATGATATAATAAAGTGAATAGGCCTTTTCCCCCATTATCTTAAGAAGTGGAGATGAAACGAATGGTATGTTAAGATTGATTGGTTTGTACGCTTGCCTTCTTTTTCCTCTTTTCGTAAATGTCCACCTCCAGTCTTGTATTGTGATTCTTTTAGGGCACTGAATTTTAATTTTCTTTTTGGATATTTTTTCTTAAAGTTTTTCATTTTGCTTTTTTTGACTTTAAGATTTCTTTATTTTACTTTTTTTCCTCTCTGATTACATATAAAAATGAAGAAAGTTTGGCAATGAGAACATTGGTTTTAAGGGGAGGAATTTAATTTTTTATGTTAAATGACTGATTCATATTTATAAATGAAGGAAAGTTTAAAAGTTAGAGGATGAAAGTAATGAAAATGACCAGCACATTTCAGGTGTTACAGTGTTACAGTGAGCCAAAGGGAATTTAGGGAGAACTGGGGAGATGGACATATCTTTTTAATATTTCAGTTCATCATACCATTTATTCTTTGGAATATAGGGAGATGAATAAATAATTATAATCTAAAGTTATATACGATAAAGCAATGATTCTTATCCTTTTGGGTTATTCATTACCTTTAGAACCTCAAAATAGCCACAATGCTTTCTTCTCAAAAACGAGCATATACCAGTGTTTCCACATAATTTCAGAATTTCACAGATGTCCATTAGGCCATTGATAAGTCCCAGGTTTAGAACCTTTGATTAGAGATACAAATATGCTGTTATAAGGGAAAGGAAGAAGTTTCTTCATTAATGAAGTGACACTAAGCTGGAAGGTTACAGGACCTCTCTAGGCAGAGAAAGGAAGAAAAGGCCCTCTAGGAAGTAAAGGTTCAGAGGAACACTTAATGGATGGCCAGTAGTCAGTCCAGTGTAGCATGTATGTTAGGTTTTGTATCAGAAATAGAGAAAAGATGGGCGGCTTTTGGAGATATTAAGGTTATCCTGAAGAGTTAGAACTTTATCATGTAGGTGATGGATAGGATGGTCATTTTTCCTTGTTTGCCGGAAATAAGTCTCTGTAGATAAAAGAAACACCTGTTAATTACTTTTTGAACCCCTTTTAACTTTTAAAATGGGCCCAGTTTGGATGATAAATTATCTGGTCACTCTAGTAATTGGGAACCTTTAATTTACATAGAAAAATAACCTTTAATACTTTCTTGTGGCATAAACTTTCTCTAGGCCAGAGGGTTTTTTGTTTTGTTTTTTTGTTTGTTTTTAGTACTGAGCTTAAAAGCAGCATGGTTTTTCTCTGGCATAACTTAAAGTTTTTTCTGATTATGAAAGTTCACTGTCACCATTAAATTACTATTTTCAACATTAATATAGGCAAAAGAACAAAATGAAAATTTCTAGTAATCTTGAGTGACTTCTAGAGGTAACTGCTGTAACCATGTTTTAGTATAGTTTGTATTTTGTGTGTTGTAGGCTCTGTATAAGATATTTTATTCTAATTTGTCATTTTATATTATGTTAGCTTTTCCTCTGCTATTTGAAACATTTCTTAAATAACAAATGGTTGCATATTGTTCTGTTAAAAGAACTTAATATTCACTCAACATTTTACAAATATTTCTTAAGCTTTTAACATGTGACAGGCACATTCTAGCTATTAGGGATATAATAGTGAGCAAACCAGATCAATAGTCCTCATGGAGCTTACCTTTTTGTGAGAACGAAAGATTAAGTAAACAAATATATATGCAGTTTACTACTGAGTAGTAATAATTGCCTTGATGAAAATGAGGCAGGATAAAGGGATAGTTAATTCACTTTAGCTAGGTCTTTCAGGGAAAGTTCTATCTGAAAAAGTGGCATTTAAATAGAAACCTAAGAAGTGAGGGATTAATTTCTAGGGGAAGAACATTTCCTGTAGAAGGAATAGCAGTGCAAAGGCCTAGATATAGCAATGTGCTTAATGTGGTAGAACTGCAAGGGAGCTAGTGAGATTGAAGTAGAGAGATATTGGAGATAGAATTCAAAGAAGTATCTGGTGCATCAGATTATGTGAGGTGTTACTTAACCACGGTAACAATTTTGGATTTTAATCTAGATTTTATGGAAAGCCATTGGAAATTAAGAGCAGTAGAATTTCCTTTTAAAAGGGAACTGAATTTCCTTTTAAAAGAGCGCTAGCTGTTATATAGAGAGTAGACTGTGATGAGGGCAGGTGACTGTGGTGGTGAAGTTGGAAGCAAGGTCAGTTAAGAGGTTATTGTGTAGTGATTCAGGCAAAAAATGATGGTGGCTTGCGCTAAGGTGGTAGCAGTAAAAGAGATAAGTAGTGGGATTTGGTATATATTTTGAAAGTAGAATCAGTAGGATATGATGATAGCTTGGACATGAGAAGTGAAAGAAGAATAAAGGATGATACCATCAATGTTGGCTCTGGTAACTGAGTGAGTGTGATACTATTTATATAGAGGTGAATACTGGGTGAGGAATGGGTTTTGTTAAGAAAAATTAATATATGTAAACATTATTTTGGTGATGAATTAAGAAAATAGGTTGTTTCTGATTTTTCCTATTAGGAATATCTTACTTGAATGTAAAGTCTTTTCTGTGGTTTGGATTATTTTCATAGAATAACTTTCTAGAAATGTAATTACTGAGTTTAAGTGTAGGCATGTTATTAAGATTCCTTGTAAATGAGGACATATGAGTGTGTAAATTTAGGACTTTGGAGAGGAGATTATCAAAATCCTGTGTCAGCACAGTGCCTGTTACATAATTTACATGAAATGTTTCAAGTCTAAGTTTTTGGATTTAGTTCTGAGTTAGATTTGACTTTTACTTTTTAAAGTTACTCCCATGTCTGTAGTCCTTAAGTCGGTTAAAAAAGTGTCTGTGTCAGTTATATATAGTGCCTATTCTAGAAGACAAGGGATTTTAGACAGTAAAAAGTTACCTTAAAATATGATAGTCTGATCAATTTTTTCCATTCTTATTAATTTAAGTCTCTTACCCTACTTTTGCAGTGTTGTTGAGCACATTAACTGCATGAGTAGGAGAGTGATTGACCAGGTGCTTTAACATTTTTAGTCCCCATTTTCCTCAACTGCAAGATTATGTATTGGTCATTATTCCTCTGGTATCTAGGTCCATTACCATCATCTCTGTGTCATAAAATAAAAGCTAACCTTCAGTTCACCTCCTTCTGCCTCAGCATATGGTGCCAATATGTCACTTTAATTGAGTTGGTTAAGTTCCTTGAAAGGCAAAAAAGAATCCTGGCCAGTGTAAAAAAATTACACAATTCAAGATTTTACTTTTTTATGACGGATGTATGGGTTTTATATCCTTAATGTCAAACATTTTAGATGGGTTTTCTGCTGATAAAGAAGTATCAAAAATAGAACTCAAATTTGTAATGCCTTCATGTTAAATGGTTTAGCCTGGTTATTATTTATTTACTTTACCATGGTTTATATAAGTTTCTCCTTGGAACATTTATCAGGAATGAGAGAGAAGCTTTTGTCATTATTCCTCATTAACCGTAATTACATTAGAGTGATTCATCATACAAAGGAAGAAAGAATAATGGCAATATTTTTTTAAATTTTGGTATCATTAATATACATGAGCAACATTGTGGTTACTAGATTCCCCCCATTATCAAGTCCCCACCACACACCCCATTACAGTCACTGTCCATCAGTGTAGTAAGATGCTATAGAATCACTACTTGTTTTCTGTACTATACTGCCTTCCCTGTGCCCCTACCCCCTACATTATGTGTGCTAATCATAATGTCCCTTATTCCCCTTATCCTTCCCTTCCCACCCATCCTCCCCAGTCCCTTTCCCGTTGGTAACCATTAGTCCATTCTTGGATTCTGTGAGTTTGCTGCTGTTTTGTTCCTTCAGTTTTTTCTTTGTTCTTATACTCCATAGATGAGTGAAATCATTTGGTACTTGTCTTTCTCTGCCTGGCTTATTTCACTGAGCATAATACCCTCCCTCTAGCTCCATCCATGTTGTTGCAAATGGTAGGATTTGTTTTCTTTTTATGGCTGAATAATCCATTGGGTATGTGTATCACACCTTCTTTATCCATTCATCTACTGATGGACACTTAGGTTGCTTCCATTTCTTGGCTATTGTAAATAGTGCTGTTATAAACATAGGGGTGCATGTCTTTTTGAAACTAGGCTCCTGCATTCTTTGGGTAAATTCCTAGAAATGGAATTCCTGGGTCAAATGGTATTTGTATTTTGAGTTTTTTGAGGAACCTTCATACGGCTATCCATATGGTTGAACTAATTTCCATTCCCACCAGCAGTATAGGAGGGTTCCCCTTTCTCCACATCCTCACCGACATTTGTTCTTTTTTTTATTATTATTATTTTGGTATCATTAATGTACAATTACATGAGAAACATTATGTTTACTAGACTCCCCCATCATCAAGTCCCCACCACATACCCCATTACAGTCACTGTCCATCAGTGCAGTAAGATGCTATAGAATCACTACTTGTCTTCTCTGTGTTGTACAGCCCTCTCTGTGCCTCCACCCCACATTATATCTGCTAATCATAATGCCCCCCTTTTTCCCCTTATCCCTCCCTTCCCACCTATCCTTCCGAATCTCTTTCCCTTTGGTAACTCTTAGTCCATTCTTGGGTTCTGTGAGTCTGCTGCTGTTTTGTTCCTCTGGTTTTTCTTTGTTCTTATACTCCACAGATGAGTGAAAACATTTGATATGTGTCTTTTTCCACCTGGCTAATTTCACTGAGCATAATACCCTCTAGCTCCATCCATATTGTTGCAAATGGTAGGATTTGTTTTCTTCTTATGGCTGAATAACAATCCATTGTGTATATGTACCACATT